CCTATGATATGTTTTGAGATAGTTGACTGATGGTTTTTCATGATATGAGATAACATTGATGACATTTTCAGTAATCTGTTTTATGAATATTTAAATTAAAAATGAAATTTTTGGTCTTGAATTTTGTGATGTTACATCAACAAAGCAATTATCAAAAAGATTATATCTATAGAAGAATAGGGGTTTGAGCACCCTTAGGGAAAGATAATTTCTCCACCCTGAACAAAAGATTTTAATAAAATATAATTTTTGGGATTATATCGACAATTTTTATAATACTTTTCTTTATGAAAATCCAAAAAAGAAACATTATTGTTTTTTCAAAGTTTGCGATCAAGTTTATAAAAAAAGGTTACCAAATTGGTTTACAAAATGGTGGGCATCATATGGTCCAAGTGTTCAAATTCTCCTTGAACCGTTCAAATCTTTATATGTTGAATGGTTAGATGTAGCTCCTAAATACAAGGATGATATTGCCCATTCTAATGGAGGCCAAGAGGTAATACATACCCTATATTTTTTCATAGAATCTTTGATTCCTTGCATCTAGAAATGGATTCTAGAAGTGGATTATCGTCCCACTTAATTCCTATCAATAAAAAGGAAATACCTTACAAAATTTTGGCCAAAAATGTTGCATAAAGATCCTAACTCAAATGAAATTAATGCAAAACAAACAATTGATAATATAAATAAGGCAATCTTAAAATACAAATCTCGGAAGAAATTCACAATACACAAGGAGCATTCCACAACTTCCAGTCCTTATGAAAAAGTCATCAACACAATGTAAGCTCAAGGAAAATTTTCCCCATCCGAAGATGATATAATTAAAGCATATATTCATCAGATGAAGGAAGACCTATTAAAAAATTTTAAACAAAATTCAGACAACTCAATGCTTTCCACATGAAATGATGACAATTACTTGGCAGGAGATATCAGCCAACATATAACGATGACACCATTATTAAAGAATTTACTGTGGAAGATCTCTTCTCCACACTTGAAGACATAATGATGCAAAAACTACAAAAGGAAAAGCCAAAAGCATAAAGTCTCCATGGTGAAAATTTCCGCACCTATCAATATCTACTATTTACTTTTATAAAACCATAATAATGAAGAAGAACGAAGACACAAAATGAATCCAACTTTCAAAAAGCACTAATCAGTGCGCTCAATTATTGTACCCTAGTAATTTGTAAAATTTAATTTTACTTTGAAGTACGGGACTATAAAAACGCTTATATGTTTAAGATTCAGACATATTACACCTTACAAACTCTCTTGTAAAATATTTCAGTTATAAAAGAAGCTTTGAAGTATTCTGGTGCCTTCTTCCTACCGTGTTCTTTTTCACCTTTGTAAGTCTTCTTTATTTTTTATGTTGTTATTGTTTAGCCTAATGATAGGCTAATTACTTTTAAGTGTTAGATAATTTCATGGAATTATGGCTTTATTAGTTTGTTAGAAACCTAGGTACCATATAATTATTTGAAATACAAAATTCTAGGTTAATAATAGGTAATTTAGAGTGAAACATTTAATCATTAGTCGTGGTGTTTCCCGTTTTGTTAGCCGTGGTTTTATGTTTTTAGGGCTGTTTTCCATTGACTCGATTTTCAACGTTTTAGTTTGATTGTCTATTATTGTAAAATTTACTATGACTGTGTTTTAGCGTAAGTTATAAGGTACCCTTGGGCCTTCTAGGTATCACCGTATCAGAGCCATATGTTTCATGAGTTATGTAACACTTCTCTTTCAAATGAATTTTCCCATGTTTAAAAGAAATAACAAAAATAACAAAAATATTGTTAGAAATTAAACTAGTGATGAATATGAAATTCCACAACAATTAGATTTACTTAATAAATGGACAATTCCTAGAATACAACCAAAAGTTTTATATGAACTAGACACTTTTGAAGAATTAGGTTTTATAGAATAAGTTAAAACAACTAAAGAAAATTTAACGATAAATCAAGATGATATGGTTGTTAGGTTATTAACTTATGATGATATTCATAGGTATCAAAATACTCATAACTATTTACACATATGATTAGTGCAAATTGCCTTAAAACCTTTAATTTTACAAGGTTTACCTGAAATTTTCTTAGCTATTTTACGAAATGGTCATAATATAAACCGTAAACAATCTTTAATAGGCATAATATAGTCTAGTTTGAATAATGGTCCAATATATTTTAATGTTTATCCTAATTTACAATTATTATTATCTGATGTTAATATACTCGATGGTTTAACATTAAATATTAAAACAAATGGATATAATTATATGCCAGGATCTGTATTAATATGCATAGGCTATAGAATATACTGTAGACCTTTAAAAACTATGAATCTTAGGTTTAAATGGAATAATAAGCCTAATAATGAAACTATTTTAATAGAAAGTAATTTTGATATATCTAAAATAACCACTAGAAAAACTATTAAGTGGGATGAAATAGATTTTCTAAAAAATTGGGTTTGGAGTGAGCGATTCATCAACCAAAAATAAATAATAAGATTACAGAAATTATTCAAACAAAAGGAAGAGTTTAAATCGAATCCGATAACGATAATGAAGAAATACATTTATTAAGAAGAATTAGATCAACTAGATCTCTATATTCTCATATATCACCTTTAGAATATAAGGTAGAAACCCCATCTAGGTGTTTCACGTCTCAATTAGATAAAAAAAATAAATCAATTAAATATAAAAAATAATATAGTCCAAGGTGCCTATGAAGAGGATCCTACTACATCAGAAATAAATTTTCCAATTTAATGGACTGTGAAGAAATAATAGATTTTAGTCTGGGATCACCGGCAAGAACAAAATTTTATAATGAATTTAATACAGAAAAATAGAAACCTTTTAAAACTTGGTTATTTGAAGAATTTTTAAAAAAAGAATTAATAATTTTACAAGATGAATTTTATTCTTACTTGTCAAAAGTTAACAAAGTTATATATTTTGTTCCATGGTTTTTTAATAAATATATAGTTAATTACTTAAATATATTAGAAATAGAATATACTCTTCAAAATAGAAATATACAAAAATCAATTTTTTCACCCCAACAAAGCTTTCAAATTTCTAGAGAAAATATAAGCTTAAAATTTTCTGCTTATAAAAAATTAGTTGACATACGTGTAACCATTGAACATATTAACCAAATAATACAACAAAATAATTTTACAAATTTATATTCTATAATTCTTGGAGAAAAAAATTCTTTTTTAGAAGAAAAGGTAGAAAACATATATAAATTAATTAAAAAATCTAAAATTGAGAAAACAAAACTAATTAAGGACAAAATAATTACAACTTTTCAACCTCCTCCAAAAATAAAAGATTTTAAATTTAAAAATGAAACTAAATTAGATCAAATTTTAGATTAATTAAAACAACCTAAAAATTTAAGTATGAATACTTCAAATAAAACTGAAGAGTCAGATAACTCAAAAGATAATACTAATTCTGAATCTAAATAAGATAAAGTTTATGAGATTAATAAAATGAAATATGAAGGTTAAGATATCAAATTTGCTAGGAGACCTGTCCAATCTAAATATTATAACAATAGGTCTACTCTTCAAGATATTTTATTGAAGAATATGAATTATTCAAGATAATAGTTACAATGGTAAAAACGTCTATGAATGGAATTTAGATGGTTTTACAGAAAGACAAATATATTTGTTAACCCAAAGAATGATTTTGTATGCTACTAGTGCAAAGTAATTAGGAAATACTGATTTAGCAGTTGCTCAAATGATAATAACAAGTTTTACTGGCAAATTAAAAGGCTGGTGGGATAACTATCTAAATGAGTTAGATAAAATTCTAATTTATAATGCCACCAAAATAGTTACCAATCAAATTAAGAATGAAGATGGTACTTCAACTTCTACACAAACAATAGTTCAAGATGTAGTTTATACACTTCTTTTGAGTATAATTGAACACTTTTATGGTAAATGGTCAAATAATTCTGATAATACTAGAACCTTACTGAATGACATGAAATGTAAAACTTTAACCTCATTTAGGTGGTATAAAGATACTTTTATGAGTAGAATATTAGAATTATATGATTGTCGTTCAAATTATTGGAAACAAAAATTTATTGATAGCCTTCCAACACTCTTTGGAAAGAGTTAGGAAAAAATTACGAGGAAATAATAATAAAGTTCGTTATGAAAACTATTCATATGGAAAACTCATATGAACTTTTACTTAGGAAAGTTTAGCCTTATGTAATGAAATAAAACTAAACCAACAAATTAAAAAAAACGTCTTACTGAAACACAACAATTATGCCACCAACAAATTAAAAAAAAAACGTCTTACTGAAACACAACAATTATGCCATTGTTGTCAACAATTTGGTAAGAAAACTATCCCTAAAAAATATAAAAAATATAGTGAAAATCAAAGACAATATAGAGATAAAAGAAGATCTTTTAGAAAAGAACAAGGGTGATAAAAAAGAAAAAAGATAATCCACCAACTTGTTATAAACGAGGTTTTTAAACCGCGCATTGCTGCGGAAGTTTAAGCAATAATTTTTGTTGAAATCATATTGCTATAAACAGAAAAAAAAAAAACAATGGTCATTTTAATGAAAAACAAACACTTAAAATGTTGATATTATGGTTAAAGAAACATAAGTGCATTGCTATTATAGGCATAGAAATAAAAGTATGTTGTTATTACAATATACTAATAAGAAAAAAAAATCACAATACAATGATGTAATATGAAGTATGAAAGTATAATGTCTCTCATGGCCCACTGAACCATAGAAAATTGATAAAAAGAATGATATAACTTCTTGCATTTAGACCTTGTTCTAAAGGTTTTCAAAAGTTGGATGGTTTTTATTACGCTTTATTAACTACAACGACCATAAATGAAGTGAAATTATTTTACCTTTTTATCACAATTAGATCAACAAAGAAATATTACCATTTCAATATATGAGACATTACAAAAAATTTCAAAAAAATGCGATAAAGTATGCAAAACATTCAACAATTCCATCGATGTATACATCATACAAATGCATATATTACAAATATGAAAAATATTATGATGAAGAACATAGTTGCAGACCAACCTAAGTCTATTTCTAAACCAACTTGATATGATCTGGTTATTCCATAACCTACCAGACACACAGTAAAAGTATAAATAATAATTCAGCCCCAAATTATAAGATCACGTTATAGCAAGAGGGATTATGTAAATGATTGCATTTATGCTTAGTTCAAATGAGTGCAATTCATTCATACTAACTGAACCAACCATGTCTTAGAATAGAGGTAACATGTCCCCCATGAAGATAATAAATAAACTCCGCAAGTAGTTCATTTGAGGCTGCAAATTGGAAAGAAAGGCATGAGTTGATAAGCAACAAAGGGTAATTTGGTAATTTAGTCAACAAACATCATATAAATTGTACTAAAAACCAAGGGTAGTCCTTTCTTTTGTAAATTTCTGTTTTTTCTGATGTCAGCAACACTCCCTGGTGCTTTTCTAATTTTTAGCACCTTTTGTTTTGTTGCATCTTCATTTTCCTGTATGTTCCTATGGTGATGGTTTGATGCTTCTGTGACTTTTTTCTCATCATCCATTTATATACTGAAAGTAGTGATACAGTCCATATGCCCTCATATGTATTTCATAAAACATTAGAAATTTGTTTATAGTATACATTATATATATATATATATATATATATATATATATATAATCAGGTCGAGCAAGAAGGATACCTTGACATATTTCATTATATTCCAACATCACCACACTTTGTTAATGTTTAGTCAAAAATAAATTAGTAGCTTTTACACCATTGTGTGATTTCCCTGATAACAGATAACGAAAGCACAAATGGATTATCCGCTTAAGAATAAAGGGCAGAGCATTCTTGCACATACACATACAAATCGAGTCAAAATTCAAATTAAAAGGCCGAAAAGGAAATCAAGAAATCTGAAACGGAGGCCCAGAAAATTATAATGGCGAATTATACCCTCTTTTGGTTTCAAGCTACAAAAGTAACAATCTGAATGCACATTAACACTATTATGAAAATTCAAGGGCTTGCCAACTGTATGATGAAACACCTAAGAGAAAAACTACAAAAAAGTGTATTTTAATGCCCTTTGAAACACTTCAACTAACTATAAGCTTAATTGGGATTTGGGAAGCAGTTCTGAGATCTTACATTTTCTTCTTTTAGGGTTAATATATATGACATACATATTGAGGTTTATTGTAACTGGTTTGGGCTAAAATTTGCAGTTTTTTTATTCGCTTAAATATGGCCTTTAACCTTCCATTTAGGTGATCTTTTTGAACACAGACCTAAAGATTTTCCAGCTCATTATATATTGATATGTGTGTGAATAAATTCTAAAATCAAACCATTCTGCCCATCTACAAACCTGCAACCAAATTCGATAACATATGTAAGGTGCAAAGAGAAAAGGATTAAATTGTTCAGTGTGCCCTTCTGAAGAAACTAAAAAGCAGCAACATTTAACAATTCTTAAAAGACCGTTTTCATGATTATAAGCACGATCTAGAAATGAAAAATTACTCAAGATCCTCAAAATGTTTGAAGAGATGAAAGCGACACGTTAAAATAAACAGGAATATAGACACGTATGAGATTATCGTGTTTTTACCTCGGTGGGAAAGAAGAACCTAAGCGAGGAGGGAGTTCCAATATTCTTTCCTGGGAAAAAACTGTACGTGGTGGTGAATCCATCTATTGGAGGCAACGATGGACCGGTGGATTAGGGTTTGATATCAACCATTCTTCGTTCCTACACAAAAAGAAAAAAAAAGTGAGATCAGTGGCCGAAAAAGAGGAAAAGAAATGGTGGTAACTGATTTCTAGTTCTAGGGTTTTTTTTACGAGCGATAACTTCATGTTGGTGCGTGCGTGTGTAGAAAAGTAGTAACGGATGTGCTGGTGATGGAATAACAACAAAATTTGGTTGGGTCGACAGTGAAGGAAAGCAACGACGATGAGGCTAGGGTTTTGAGAGGAAGAGGTGAAATGATAAAGGAGAAAATATGAGCATGTAGTGACCTTTGAATCCCATAAAGAAAGGAAGCTGAGAGAGATATTAGGTGGGGGAAGAAGGAATACAGGAGAAACGTAAAAGAAAAGTGGCGACCACCATCCCTTTTCAATCCCATACCACATGATCGACCTGGCACGGGTCGTGTCGTGTCGGGTTCGTGCGGTGTCAAGATATTAAATGGGTTGAGAGTGTTTGACCCTAATCCAACCCATTTAATTATCGTGTCATGTCGTGTCAATCCGTTTATTTTTGTGTCGGGTTTCGGGTTAAGGTTTAAACCTTATAAATATGTTGTGTCATGTCAGGTTGAAACATTTTAAATGTTGAAAAGTAAGACTCATGGAGGAAAAAAAAACTGAGAAAGTGAAATGTTGGAGTTGGGAGGTGGAACGGAAAAAAAATTATACTTTCTCCGTCCCATATTTATTGTCCATTTTTGACTTTTGAAGTTTTTATTTTTCTACTTTGACCTTAAATAGTTTTATTTGTGTTATAAATTACTTGATAAACTTATAACAATGAAAAGACATTTAAAACACAATCCATTCATATATTTTGCATTAAGTGTTATATATCAAAAACAAAAATATTTAAGGTCAAATTTGAAGAATAAAGACTTCAACAGTCAAAATTGGACAATAAACATGGGACGGAGGTAGTGGTAAGTTTAAAAAGAAAAATGGAAAGAGTTAAGAGTTAGGATGCAAATGAGATAGGTAGTGAGGAGGAGTAAAATTAAGTACTTTGAATGTTTGAATTTTACTTTTAATTCTTAAATTTGGGCCACTACAAATGTATAATATTGAAAATATTTATAAAAATATGAAACATATATATATATATATATATATATATATATATATATATATATATATATATATATATATATATATATATATATATATATATATATATATATATATATTAAACGGGTCATCTTCGAGTCATATTCGAGTTGAAAGTCTTGACCCTAACCCTACCCGTTTAATGATCGTGTCGTGTCGTGTCAATCCATGTACATAAACGGGTCAAAATCTCTGACCCTAACCCGCTAACTTTGTGTCGGGTTCGTGCCGAGTTGTCATGTCGTGCCAGATTTTGCCAGGTCTATCACATGATCAACATTTTCCAATATCACACTCCAAGTTCACTGTTTGTTGAAAAGACCTTAAGAACAGTAGCTCAACATTTGATAAATTTATAATGTGGTAGACTTCTTCATTTTGCCAATAAATGCAAAATAAAAAAAAATATTAATAATCTAAATCTAGAAGATAGTATGAAAAGTTAAAAGAAAATTTTTAATTTTTTTTTTGGAACGGTAAATACCAAGCGGAAGCCCTTCCGCCAATTTACAGCGGAAGTCCGGAATCGAGCTCCTTTACAGGACAAACCCTCACCCTTTTTAATGGGATTCCAAGGGAAAATTCCCCATGAGTGGCCACCAATGGGAGTCGAACTCCCCACCTTGCCCCTCAATGGTTATAAACCCAACACCTCTTTCCCAGCTGGGTTGGGCTTCATTGGTAGAAAATTTTTAAATACTTCGAAAGAATCGTCATCTATGAAATAAATAATATAAATTCTGATGAAGAAATTTATACCACTTCAAATAGTTCTAATGAAGAAGAAATAATTGTTTTTGTCTAGATAAAAATAATTGTTCATGTAATTATGAAATATATAAAATTCAATCATAATTTCAGGATACTTTACAAATAAACATCTTAGATAAAGATATTTTATCTATTTTAAAAAATATTAATAATTCTGAATTAAAATCACAAATAATTGTTCAAATAATAAATAATCAACAAACCACTCAAGTTAGTGAACCAAATTTATTCTATGAAAAAAATAGATCAAAGATTAAAATTGAAAAACAATACTTCTTTAAATACTATAATTACGGACTATACTCAAGAAATCAATAATTTAAAACAAGAAAGTATTTCATTAAAAAATAATCAAAATAAATTAGAAAATAGAGTCATCACTCTTGAAAATGAATCCAATAATGATTCAACTAAGGAGTTTAGTGAACTCTTACGTGCTATAGAATTAGGTATTGTTTGTTTTTTCTGATGCAAAATGTCTGCAGTCTGCGGACTACATCTGTAGACCTCTACAGTAGAAGAGGTGGACCAAATGTCTGCAGTTTAAAAAAAGAAGACTGTTTGTTTTTTTAACATCTGCGGGCTACTAAAATAAACTGATTTTTTTTTAAACTTCAAAGTGATTTTTTAATATTTTTATGACTTTGTTATAAATAATTAACGAATCTAAATCAACTTTTATGTATTATTGTATAAAAAATAAAAATAAAAATGGTATGAATTAACGTATATATTTGATAAAAACCAACAACTTTGGTTGCAAAGTTATAACTAAACATTATAATTAGTGATCAAAGAATTTGATACATAAATGGATGGAAATAAACTTCGATTTTTTCAATTAAATCCATTAAAAACGTACCATAAATATTTTCTCGAGAAATTGACGATACTATATTAAATAATGTTTTACAAAATTTGACAAAAAAATATGAGAATATATTATGATTTTTTTTTTCATATTTACATAAACAACTTCAACGACTATTATTGTAATAAATCTTTATTTATAAATTTGTCAAAAATATAATGTTTGTATCGTCAAACGTTTTTTTTTTAAGTTTTGAAATTTTTTTCAAATTGTTTATCATTAATAAAGTTGGAAAAATATAAATTAAAAAAAAACTTAAAAAAATAAAGATATATATGTTTTTTTAGGCTAGAAGATGTCTGAAGATGTGTGAAGATGTTAGAAAACTCTGGTCCACATCTGCGTCAAGAAGAGGGCGCGCAGACATTTTTAGGTCTGCAGTATTCGAAAAAACAAACAGTCTGCGAAGGCTAATGTCTGCGCGTGGTCTGCGCGGCACAGACAGAAGAGGCCACGCAGATCTGCAGACAAAAAACAAACACTACCGTAGTCAAATCGCAAAAATGGTACACTAAAATCAAACTAATAATCGGAGATTATTATAAAAAAGAGATCATTGCTCTTATTGATAATTGAGCATATATAAATTGTATCAAAGAAGGATTAATTCATGTCAAATATTTTGAAAAAAAGTACCCATGTGATTTGTATTGTCAGTGGAGAAAAATTAGATATCAATTATAAATTGTCTAATACAAAGATTTGTATTAATAAAGTTTGTATTCCACCAATCTTCACAATAATTAAAAATATGTCCCACAATGAAATTATTTTGGGCACTCACTTTTTACAAATTTTTTTACCTCTAGGAGTAAATGAAAAAGAAATCCCAAGAAATTTTCAAAATTATGAAGTATTCTTTGAATTTGTTACAAAACCTTTTACTCGTTAGATAGATCTTATAGGTTTAAAAACAAATCAAATAAATTTTCTAAAAGAAGAGAGTTTAATAATAAATATAGATGAAAAATTACAAAATCCGAAATTATAAAAAAAATTAAGATCTTGCAAAATCGGCTTACTTTAAAAATATGTTCCGATCATCCTAATGCTTTTTGGGAAAGAAAAAAAAACATATAATTCCTCTTCAATATGAATATAAATTTAATTAAAAGGATATACCAACCAAGGTCCGTCATTGTCAAATGAATCATAATTATTTAGATATTTGTAAAAAAGAAATATCTTCTTTATTAAGCAAATATTTAATTAGACCTTCTAAATCGGCTTGGTCTTGTAATGCTTTTTATGTTAATAAACATTTAGAATAAGAAAGAGGTACACCCTGATTGGTAATTAATTACAAACCTTCAAATAAAGTCTTAAAATGGATTCCTTATCCGATACCAAATAAAAAATATCTATTGGATAGATTAAACAATGCAATTATATTTTCAAATTTTGATTTAAAATCAGGATATTAACAAATTCAGATTGATGAAAATGACAAATATAAAATTTCTTTTAATGTCCCTTTTGACCAAAAAGGACATTAAAAAGCAGTTTTATATTTGTTTTTCAAATCAAATGAGACATTAAAAGCAATTTTATATTTGTTTTCCAAACCAAAAATTTGATTTTAAAGCAAGATATTTGCTTCTCAAACAAATGTTATTCCATTCATATTGACCAAAAGGGATGTTAAAAGCAGTTTTATATTTGTCATTTTTATCAATCTGAATTTGCCAATATCCTGATTTTAACGCAAAATTTGAAAATATAATTGCATTGTTTAATCTATCCATAGATCTTTCTTATTAGGTATTGGATAACGAATCTGTTTTAAGACTTTATTTAAAGATTTATAATTAATTACCAATCTGAGAGTACATATTTCTTGTTCTCAATGTTTATTAACATAAAAAACATTACAAGATCAAGCCGATTTAGAAGGTGTAATTAAATTTTTGCTTAATAAAGAAGATATTTATTTTTTTACAAATATCTAAATAATTATGATTCATTTGACAAGGAGAGACCTTGGTTGAAATATCATTTTCATTAAAGTTATCTTCATATTGAAAGAAATTATATGTTTCTTTCTTTCCCAAAAAACATTAGGATGATCGGAACATATTTTTAAAGTAAATTGATTTTGTAAGATCTTAATTTTTTCTTGTAATTTTATATTTTGTAATTTTTCTTCTATATTCATTATTAAAATCTCTTCTTTTAGAAAATTTATTTGATTTTTTTTAAAATCTATAAGATCTATCCAACGAGTAAAAGGTTTCGTAACAAATTCAAAGAATACTTCATAATTTTGAAAATTTCCTAGGATTTCTTTTTTATTTACTCCTAGAGGTAAAAAATTTTGTAAAAAATGAGTGCCCAAAATAATTTCATTGTGGGACATATTCTTAATTATTGTGAAGCTTAGTGGAGTACAAATTTTATTAATACAAATCTTTGTATTAGACAATTTGTAATTCATATCTAATTTTTCTCCACTGACAATACGAATCATATGGGTACCTTTTTTTTTCTAAATATTTGACATGAATTAATCCTTCTTGGATACAATTTATATATTGCTCCACTATCTATAAGAGCAATGAATTCTTTTTTATAATAATCTCCAATTATTATTTTGATTTTAGTGTGCCATTTTTGTGATGTGTCTAATTCCATAGCA